ATTATTTTATTTTTCCTTAGACAATGATGAAATTTATAGAAAAAAAAAGTACAAAATCCTTGTAAAATGGAAAGAAAGATTATCTATTTTTTAACAATACAAATATTTTAGAACTTTGAATTAAGATACTCAAATATTCATATTGATAAATAGCATTTTTTACAACAAGATCCAAAATAATAAATTATAAATACGTGGCTAACATCTTATTAACTTGAATTTTCTTACTAATGTGAATATTAATATTATATTTTATAAGATAACTACACTACAAATAAAAAAGAAAGAAAAACGAAACTAATGTAATATTAATATTATATTTTGCAAGATAACTATACCATAGACAAAAAAAGAATAAGGCCCTTATTAAAATTTGGCTTTAGGCCACGAGTTTTATTGAAAAATCTTGCAAATAAAATTGAGACGACCAGAATGAACCTCCCCAGATTATCCCACCACCACCACCCCGCCACAAAATGTTCCGCTTACCTGTTTTCTGGGCAATAGAAAGGCACTTCAGGACGAGGTATCGATGCGTACGCATAACAGGGACATTCACAGGAAAAACAAGTTCTCATGTGGCGTTTGTAGCACTAGGTTTAGGTGGCCAACGCAGCTTGAAGAACACATCAAAGTGTGAGGAGCGATCCCACGTGTATCAAAGAGGGTTCAAATGAACTCGCTTCGTCGGAAAAATATACTGTTTATACATGTAATTATCATCTAAAACAGAACGAATACAGATATTATTCAATTAATGAACCCACTTGACACAACAAACCTTTGTGGTGTAATGGTCAAGAAAGCTCCTGATGGTCCATGGTTCGATTTTCCGTTGCAGCACTCTCACTCTTATTTTTGACAATTATTGATTATGTTTGTATTTTTGGAATGATAAATAGCTTTTAAGTTTTAAGTTGATTGTTTCAATATGAAATTATTTATTTGCTCTAGTATTAAATTTTTTGGTACTTATAGCTCACTTTAATTATTTGTATTAATTTAGTTCAGTTAATACTTTTTCTTTTGATTGTTTTTTTATTTGTAAATAACATCATTGTTTCTATAAACCTGAAAATATTTAATATATACACTTTTTAATATGTTAAATAGAATTTGTTAGCAAATTTTTAAATTTGTTGAAGCAAAATTTGTTAAAATAAGTAGATAATTTATTCTAAAATTTAATTTAATAAGAATTTGTAATGCTTTTATTTTAAAAAACTTGCTCAACAAATAAAGCAAAAAAAAAAAATTTGATTACTTCATTTTGTTGTAGTGAATAAAAAAAGAAGAAAATTATAATTGAGCAAATCTCGCTTGTTATAATTGATGTTGTTTGTATTATTGATGTCGTATTTAATGAACCCGCTTGTACAAAATCCTGGGTCCGCCACTGTAAAGTGCACCATATCCTACTCTACTTGATAAATTGATGAATGCTAATTCTATATGTTATTGAGGGTTTATATACTCGTCTTTCTATATACTTTTTTTTTAAATCTTCAAGTCGAGGAAGCCGCTAAACATAATTATTAAGAATTGATGAAAATGTTTAAATAAAATGTTAGATGACAGATATGGAATAGTATTGAGGCTCGCGTTATGTATATTACTAGTATTTGGGAATTCAATTTTCCTTACGCAACTTTCAAAAAGTGATAGTTTAAGCCGAATTTAAGTTAAGTTAAATAGCAACGTGTTATGCTGTATGGCACGTTTTTTAGAAAATTAGGAGCATGTACTAGACGCACCTCTAACAATGTAATGAGGGGTTTTAATATAAAGGGAAATATAGTTCAGGGGGTTTTGGGGACACCGAATAATTTAAGTAGGAAACTAACAAAAACATGATAGTTTAGGGGGATTTTAGTGTATTAACTCTACGTGAAGCATGTAATGTTTATGATCATTTCTGATTGTTCTTTAACTAAATAATACTAATATCTATTTCATGAAAAAAAAAAATTAAGTTAGGTTTATACTGACCTTGCATTTATTGTTTCACTGATAAAATATGGTTCGTGTGCCTTTGAGGAAAAATCAGAATTAAGTCAACAAATTTATAAACTATTGTTTAGTAATGTAACATGTGAGTTGAGATAACATACTTGCGCCTTTTAGTTTGTTTTTTCTTTTGATAACGAAAATCGATTCAAATGATAGTTACTGACTGATTTAATTCAAAAGCTTACTTGCAGAAGCAAAGCTAGGATTTGAAGTTTAGGGAATCTGAATTCTATGTATTTAAGTGATGACTGAGTTTTAAATTACTAATAATTTATACGCCCTCCGTTTTAATTTATGTGAACCTATTTGGAATGCTAGTTATATGGAAAAGACAATCCTAAAGCTACTAATATTGATTGTTGTGATCATATTGGTGAACTTTTGTGATCCAAATAAGCATTCTTGATCCTTCTAGCTTGAGCTCGGTATAATTCTTTTTTCCAAAAACAAGCTGGTTGCCTTAGCCTATTCAAAGTTAACAGTAAAACTTGATTTTACCACTTCTTGTATTTTGTGATAAAATAGTGAAACTTCGATTTGGAACTAAATATATACCTTTCAATACTTCAAATGAAATAAGTCTATTTTATTCTATTGTGCCCATTCTATTTTACCGCTAAAGTATATACTAGTCTGCTAGAGCACCTCAAAGGAAACCTGAAAGCAAGGCAATGAATCTGATGCAATGCTAAAATCTCAACCCGTCCTGCACCGCATAGCTTTAAACCCGCACCGCCCGGCATAACGTTAAATTCGCCCCGTCCCGCACCCGCACCGCCTCATTTGCCATCCCTAGACAACCTCTTATGAGAGTAGGCGGGAGAATAAAGGTTTCAGTTTTGTAATCCGATAAATTAATGGCTGTAGGAAGAAATGGTATGAGCTAAAAATGCTGGATTTTCTACAGTACAATGGTCCTGTTTTACGGAAGTTCAAGTCAAGACAAGTCATAATTACAACATGGCTATATGTCTTTTTTCCAAAAGTAATTCCACGTAGGTCACTATTTTTTACTATGTTTTATTTTACTGTAAAATCATATAAAAAAATATTATATTGAAGTTCACTAGTAAAATCATAGAAGTAACTGAACTTTGTCTAATATAATAGTAAGCCACTAAATTTACTCATTATAATTTATAATGATGAAGCCTATCCATAAGGTGATTATATTGGTATAATATTAAAATTTTGTGATTTTACTATTATAATTGCTACTGTTACAGTGGATAAATTAAATAATTTAATATGACAAAAAATTTGATTCAATTGTTTTAATGAGCAAGTTTAGTTACTTTAATACAATTAAACAAATCTATAATTTACTGTTATAATGTGATATAGTAAGTTTTGACTTCCCTATTCAATAAAACTTATTTATTAAAAAAAATAAAATTTAATGTTACCAACATTTTATAGATGAAATTTAGAATCTTTATGAAAAATTACAGCATTACTCTTGAAAGTTTTCGCTTTCATTTTGACATTGTTTACGTTGGAAGAAATGAGAATTATGTACGAACTTTCTCTCAAAGTTACAGATTAACCATGCATTCACATGTCTAAGCTTGGTAATCAGTCCCAAATTAAGATAAAAGAAGATTATTATGGTAAATTAACAAACATATCTAAAAATATAAAGTATGTTGTGATTATAATGTTGAAATATAGTACAGGATTAAATAATAATAGGATTATTTAGTGGATATATTTTAATTAGTAGATGTTTAGATTTTTGGACTAAGAATAGAACATACGGGTACAAGATAAAATGTATATTCGATTTTATACGAGATAAATTCGAATAAACTTTTTTTTGGTAAGAGAGGAAACCCGCATGCCGCTACAACCTCTACCACAGCCTCTGCCTTTCAGGTGAGCACTTTGTGCGCACTGGATAAACATCCCCCTGTGTAATAGCCTGCAAACCACACAGGGGATGTAAACCGTACTAGGCAAGCCCTGTGCGACAAGCTCTACCCAGAAGGCATTGAGGGGGGATTCGATCCCAGACCATCCATATGGATTACCACCCTCTAAACCAACTGGGCAACCCCGAAGGGTTTTTAACTTTAACATTGGGGAGTTTGGGAGGAGAGCTTTGGAGAATTGCATCTTTGGCATTTTGTTATTTATCCCGGGATCTCTGGACTATTATTCGACATTGAATGCAGTTTAAAAACAATATCAAAATTGTAGTACAAATAATACTGAGATTACTTATACTGGAATCAAAATTTCAACTAAACAGAAGTAACACGATCTCATATTTTATCCGGGATTGTTATTTCTTATCCGTGTAACCCAAATAGTTAAAACTCTTTTGTCGAAAAGCCAATTCAAAGAAGGAATGAAGACGACACACGGACCTATCCTTACTGTTTTTATCAGTGGGCTATTGTCCTGTCGTATAAGCTGTTTCTTCTTCTTTCATTTTCCCAAGACGTCACAATTGACGAAAGAATAAGATCAATACACACTTAATTCAGTTTAAACGCTGACGATATATATTAAGTGTGAATTCAAAGAGGAAGTACCTTTTTTGTCATTGTAACCTTCTAAACTCAAGAGTGTGGACTAACAGATCTTCATCCTCAATCTTATGGAAGATTTGCTATTATAAAAAGACTAATTAACTTAACTGATAGAAAATAACCGATAATAAGCATCAAATACATAAAATAACTTTCGAGTGTTGATTATGATTTTACAAATAAGCATTAGGTGTTTGAAATAGTAATATTTGTTTTGTACCTCAAGCTTCAAAACACATGGCTTGCCTTCAACCAGCTTCATTACACAGAAGCCCAAAGTCTCAGACATGTTTGTAGCCTTGTCCGTCCTTCCGTTTAATCCTTTGGATTTCTTAAGATAATACTCTTGATAAAAGCTAAAGAAGAATCTATGCGTTTTTAGTTGTCAGAGCCCCGAGGGATCGAATACTGTAGACCAGCGGATTATAGAAGTTAAAAAATCATGACAATGATGCATTGATTTGTGATGCAATATATGACCATAAAACAGCCAGAGAACTGAGACTGTTTAAACGAATTAACACTTCTCATCACTGAACAGAGTATCTAATCATCAAATCTATACATAAATTTTGGTGAAGGTATAATTATAGGCGATCAAATATCTTCCAATAGCGGATGCTATAAACATGTTACACAAGAATTTAAAAGATTTCCACAGTAATAGATATGTGTGCAATGAAGAGTGGAGAACATCAAGTGAGACATGAGGAAGTTGGGACTTTGTAGATGGTTACTCCTCTGCACAAATAAGCTATACAAAAATTCGTTCTTCCGGTGTACTAACCTTGTACAACAAATTAGAGTATAGGTGTCTCCTGGAATAGCAACAATGTCGCTTGCCAAGATCATCATACATTTGTCAATCCATGAATCGATAAGCCGGGATTCCATGGTTTTGAAACCACTCCGGCATTTGAAACCTTTCTTGAAGCACAGGCCTCACATCCTTCTGCTCAGAGAGATGCTTGAGAAGTGGAAGGATTATTTCCAAAAGCTAATGTAGAAAATGAAAGCCAAGTCAAAACTCGTGGCATCGAAGTAGCCAAAATTTGAGGAATTACCCTCTTTTATTATTATTTTTAACTTTTTTTCGTTCATTTCTTATACCTGCTCGTCATGGGGTTGTCCAGGAGAAAATGGAATGCACGGAATCCCATTTAAGGGCTGTAACAAGAAACTGAATGGGTTGTTATCAACAATGACAATGCGGCTTAGATCCTTTGATATGGATGACAGGTCCTTCACATGTTCCCGGAATTCCCTGTGATGCGCATATAGTGTCACTTTTACCATAGTTATATTATATAGAAACAACTGTGGCTTAAACTATTCTTTTTTAAACAGGTACCAGTGGCTATAAACTATTTAAGCTGTTATAGGTGGCATCAACGAAAAGCAGCATTTACAAGGACGAACGAACGAACCCATAATCCATATAAGCAAGTTAGTGGTATTGACCATAAAACATTTTCATAAATAGAGACATGAACTTGAAAGTCTAACTTAACAAATGTTTTCTTCAAATGTGAGGCCCACACATACAGCTTATAACATTCATAAGCTAGTCACCATGTATAACACGATAGAGAGTACCAAGGTTGGACTATCACAGGTTAACAAAGTTTTGACAAAGAGGTACTCAGAATTTGGTAACTCTACTCCGTTAACAACTACTTATGAATCCTTACTGCACCTAAGGATGCTAATAGAAAAGCAACCGGCCAACACAAGAGATGAGCTATATTTAGTATCACGTGAAAATTTGTCTACATTCATATACTTCTAGATTCACATTATATTTAAAAAGGAAAATCATATAAAATATTCTATAGCATACCTTAGGATATTTTTTATTTAATTATAAAATATTTCCTTACCTTATCAACACGGGGATTAATTATTTAGAATATTATATAGCCTAAGACTCCCATATAAGAAGCACCTCTTTTCATTTTTATATTATTTTCGATAGCCGAGAAATCTCCGAGGACCAATTTCGAAACTCAATGGATGATGGGCTACTCCTCAACCTTTCTCTACTTAAATACCAGGCTTTTGTTATCAACAGGCTTCGAACACGTGACGTGCGCCTAACCCACACATCATAAGTTGCGCTCCTACCACAGGACCAAAGTCCGGGGGGCATATAAGAAGCACCTCTTATACATTGTTAACCAAGTCAAAAGAAGTTTCTTCTACATTTTTATATGGTATCACAATAGGCAAAGTCTTAGGTTCGAGTCTCATGAACACTCATTATCAAAAAGAATTTACGTGCTCGGACCATAAAAAAATCAGGCCTATAAGTGGGGAAGCGTGTTGAAGACATAATTAAGTATCTAAAAGTGTGTTCTCTCTTGCAGCTTCAGCTTTCTGATGAGATGGTCACACACTTGAACAAGTTACACGGATTAAGAAAACATTTAGAAACAGGTAAGTCGTCAATCCATCATACTTCAGAAAAAGTCAAGGATTAAATTTTCTTAAATGTTATACATGCTCCAGAGATATAATATATGAAATCGGGGGTTGGAAAGGAAAAGATAATCGTCAATTGGTAACATATGCTGGAAGATCAAATTCATAGAGTTGAGGCACTAAAAATAAAAGAATAGGTACCTAACTAAGATCTTAATTCAGGATTAACATACAGAGCTTAGTTAGCATGACAGAATTTGAAAAAATGATTCTTCAAGAAGGCTGGGCTCGGTGTCACTTAAGAAGTTCTGCTAGAAACAAACACCCTACTCTACGTTCAGACCTGCAACGAACTGTAACTTCCATCATCTGGTCTGCTTCATCTCATGAAAGCATGATCGAAGAGTTACTGAAAATCTTATAGCTATTGCGAGCTACTGGTAGTAGTTTGTGCTAATGTTTAGAAAAAGATGAATGACGAAGAGCTACTCTAGTACTTTGCACTGATTTTTTCAGGACAAATGAATAAAGCAGCTAGGGGATGTCCTCGTAATCAGTTAGAAAGTAAAAGTTGATCATTCTCAGTACCAAGTCATACAGAATGAAACCTTCACCTGGTAACGATTGGAGTAGATAAAACAGATGCACAACAGATTCTCTATACATATCAGCAAGTGCAAAAAAGATCTTCCAGCAATGCTATTAAGCTAAGTCCATAAAGCCACTGCCTCTTCTATTTTCATACATTTTCTCCTCGGACCCCTCCTATTATCATGTCATTTATGTCATCGATTAATTTATCATTTCTTTCGATGGTATATTTGTTCTGCAATGTAATAAACAGGATACAGAAAGACAAGTCTATTTTGACAAAGATTAGTCAAATTTTGTGAGATCATGCATAAAGTAGTTATACCCTCCATTCCAATTTATGTGACACTTTTTCCTTTTTAGCTAGACCAGAAAAGAATGACACCTTTCTATATTTACTAACAATTTAACTTTAAAATGCCCATTTTAGTTAATAAGATGATCTATTAGCCAACAAATATCTATTGCTCATTTTAGACCACAAGTTTCAAAAGTCTTCCTTCTTTCTTAAACTCTATGCCAATCAAACACCATCACATAAATTGGGATGGAGGGAGCAGTTGTTGTTATGACTAATAAAAAGCAGGTTCAGCATAAGCTTTCAATCAATCTAAGGACAGTGAATGTCTTCAAATGGAGCCTGTGGCATTTACCATTTATGAGGCAGCATGACTTCCACTTCTCCCTCCCTCCCCCAACAATCAGACTTCTTCCACTCTTACACTATCGCTTTTGAGAAAGGTAACAATTTTCTTCAACTCTTACACTTGAAACCACCATATAAAGTTTGGCTAGTGATTAAAGATAGGATGTACAACATTTTCAAGACCAGTGCTTGGAACAAGTGCCTCAACACTAATTAGCACCACTATATGCATATAAAATACAACTGTTGTCTCAAAAGTTGATATGCCATAAGGTAGATATATAGCTTTTACCAATCAAGATGAAAAGGCAACATAAGATATATTGTCTATCCACTTTCCCCTCTAATAGCATCAGATTTCTATTCCTTTTATGCTATTTACTTTCAGATAGTGTTTCTTTACTCTTGATATTTCTCAAAAATAATTTAGATTAGCCCCATATTCAACATGTCAAATGATGCCAGATAAGAATTTCGATCGTGGTTATTCAACAGGGAAAGAAAATACCAAAAACAGTAGAAGACAAAACCAGTATCTATACTTACGTGCTAATAGTTGAAGGCCGATAAAGTCTATGGCTAAACCAATTCTCAGGATCAATTTTATCAACAAGGGGTCTTGCATATCCTGTATGCACATAACATTTTCAAATTCAACAATTTTGGATGAAGACGCCAATGGAGAAGGAAGATAACTAAATCACCCAGAAAGTAATGAGTTAACCTTCAAGTCCAGCAGTAAACAAGACCATATTAGCAAATTTGCTAAGTTGTTTTAAAAACTCATGTAATCCAGGACGTTCAAAAACTGTGACATAGTTGATCTTAGGTTTGCCATCATATTCCTAAAACCTCCAAAAGGAATTAGAATAGAATTCTTCAAGAAACTTGCCAGAATACTATATCAAATAGTAGGAACTAGAAAGTCTACCTTGTCCGAAGATACGCACTCGAGCTCAAACCACTTCAACCCAGCCTCTGTTGCCTGGGTACGCATGATTGTCGGCATACTTGATGTCTCATATGCACAAACTAAAGTATCATCCAAGTCAAGAACCACCTGCATCCAGCATCTAAGAACTTAAGAAAAACATAAATAGAAGGTAATACTTTTAATAAAATACCTATTAAAAGATTGATCAACACCATTAACAGCCACCAGTTAATTCTTGTTCCAGGAAGCACTGGTTATCCAGTTCTACAAACACTCTAGCTAAGGAGTAGGGGTGGGCGTTCGGGCAATTCGGAGTGTATATGAAATTTTCGGTTTGGATTTTCGGTTTTCGGATGGAAAAAATTGATAATCCAAATCCAGTCCAAATAAGCTTGGATTGGATCAGATTTTTTAAGTTCGGTTTCGGATTAATTGGTTTGGATATTTTGGATTTTCGGTTTTGAGCTTATAAGTTGAGATGTTTCTTCTTTTTACAAAAATGAATATTCAAATGAACTACTCATGTTTAATTGCCTGAAAAGTTCCTCATTCTCACTGCAATCATCCAAATAAAGTATTCAAGCAATGAAATTATTATCAAGGAAATGAAACAGCGACTTTAATACGGCTGATAAGAAGTAGCTATAGTAAAACCATATCCAATAGAAAGTATTCTGACAGTAACTTAGTAATTAATATTCAGTGTATGAGATAATATCTAATGGGTAGGGTGTTGAACTTATTACTAGTGGCATATGGATAATGGACTAAATATAAAGTATAAAACTTTCGGATTTTCGGATATCCAAAAATCCGAAGTACCAACTCCAATATCCAATCCGAATCCAAAAATTTAAAAAATTAAATCCAAACCCAATCCGTTATCCGAAAATTCAAACCAACAATTCAAAAGATTCGGATTTTGGTTTGGATTTCGGGTTTTCCCAAACTATGGCCACCCTTACTAAGGAGTGACAGGTAGTCGGAAGAGCACTACCTATTACCATTGCGGATCCAGGATTTAAACTCTATGGGTTCAACCTTTAAGGTTTTTATCATTGAACCCATTATATTTTTAAAGTTATGGGTTCATATCTACAAAAATTGTAATTTTAGTGGATTTGTACGTATAAATTTATCATCCGCATCAAAAGTTATGGGTTCAATCGAATCCGGTGCCGTTGTATTGGATCCGCCCCTGCTTATTACCAATAAAGTGCTCATACACATATATAACGCCATTCAAACTTGCTAAATTAGCACTTTGCTGACTCAAGCATTTATCAAAGACTAACAAAAAGCTCATCAGATTCACATGGTGTTTCGACTCGCTTGTCCAGCCATTTCCTCTAGGGATCTCATTTGCAAGCTAAGGGTGTGCTAGTGGCATAACCTTATCCACTACGCCACCTTCCCAAGAAGTAAAGAAAGAAGAGATGAGAAGAAACGCAAAAGAATACTGTGACACCACAAAAAATAGGAATCACCTTACTAACTAAAATGCATGCTGTAAATAACAACATTCCCTACACTTTGACATACTTTCTGGCAAATTAATGCTTCTCGGGAAACTATACCTGCCCCTTTATTCAATCTCAGCTTTTGCACTCTTCGTATCCTCATTATAGTTGTCCTGCTTTAAAACTTCCTCCTTCTACCAAGTTGATTTTCCTTAAACACCTTCACTATTCAGACTGGAAGCTAACTTTACATGTTATATGCTTATACTAAATTTGCAAAGTTAGACTTGTGATCTTCCTGTACCAATCTGCACATGCTTTTGCACACTACTTAACTAGCTTACATCAGCAACCAAGGGTGTGGCTTAGCGGTCATTGAAGTGGGTGAACCATGCAAGACCAGGGTTCAAATCCCCACGAAGACTAAAAAAACTAGGCCATTTCTTTCTGATCTACCTAATTCTTGGTGATCAAAGTTGCCCGATAATTGTACTAGTGGGAGGTAGTAGGCACCTGGTGAAATAGTCGAGGCGTGTGCAAGCTCACCCGAACACCAATAAGAAGGTCATGCACAAGCATCCATTAGTTAGGTCAGTGTTAATTGAACTGGAGCTTCGAGCTACAGAAGAATAGAAACAGAAGAGTGACCTACACAATGCTTCTTAAAATTCTTCATGTCTACTTTGCATTTACCCTTTCTCCAATATTCGATATCAGCAAATTTGAAACTTGCTTCCATAATGCTGCAATCGTCCAACTTTTAATCAATATTTCCTTAAAGCTTATAGCGACACTGTTAGGTGTTTGCCATAATTTTCTTACCATATTTGGTTTTCCTATCTCTTGAAGGAAAAGGGCAATATAATTACCTTAATTGAGTTTTTCTTTTTGTAAAAGGAAATTATAAATCTCCAATATTTGGCTAGTCTTTTTTCTTGTAGGAAAAGGTTTGGACTTCTATAAATTGAGGATCCTTCCTTCTCATTCAGTAGCATCTACAATGTAGCCATAGGGGGCTTGAGAGTCGTGTCTAGGGGGAGAACTTTACGGGACAAGTGTTAGTGTGTCACTTGTGTATACCTCTTCGTGAGGTTGTTCTCTCGATATTTTGTACTCTGTTTTATATAGTAGATTGCTCATCTCCGTTGTGGACGTAGGTCAGTTGACCGAACCACGTATGTTTGTGTCTCTTTTGGTAGATTTCTCTTTGTTGTGTGATTTATCGTCGTTCAAGGTTTGCTTTGCTAGCTTCCGCATGACACCTGACTTTTTTCGGCCCTAACAGACACCTCATAATTATTCAACTAAAAGGTTGAAGTATACCAGCATATCCAAAATCGGTTCGCATTAAATTCAGCCCGATTTCCTGAGAAAAATCTGATCCTCAACCCAGAAAAAGAAACTAAAATTACGGAAATAGTCTAGTTTTACAACAACTCCTCTTACCTCCTATTTAGTATGAATTTAACCACTTCCACTGCTGACTAGCAGTCTGTATAGAACATGACTACTTAATTATACAGGTTAATGCTCAAGTGCAATCCTACTAGATTCCTCATAAGTGTTCAACTAACAATAACTCTGATTCACTCGTGAGCGACCAATACAAGCAAGAGTGATATCTGACTCATTTCTCATTAATAATGAAAGAGCTCAATACTTCGCCATCAAACTGTATACCAAAAAACTATTAGTCATGTTCATCTGAATGGAATGATAAGCAATTCAACGATAACATAAAATCATATAGGTTGTCTGGTCCGTCCACAAGTTAAAAAAAATTCACAATACATGAATTGTTATGCAGTGAATAATAATATGTGTATTATGCGACGTTAGCAACATAAGGATCAGTATGCAGAGATTGCAATACCAAAGTCAAGAATTAGTTTTTCCTGGTATTGCTAATGCATGTATTACTACTTCACATTCTATCTCATACAAACTAATAAGTTATGGAAGCATTAGTTAAGCAGAGTTTTACATCAGACAAAACACTATATAATGTATAGAGTTGTCAAAAGCAAATCCAAGATTTGAACTTTGTGGTTTGGGTTTGAAATTCATCCATTTGATTTATTGTGTTTGAAATCTATTATTTCGACTTATTTAGTGAATTATTTAACACATATACAGAGTTTGAGCCAAAGCTACTGTGTTGGTATCTATTATTTCTACTTATCTAGTGAATCAACACATATATAGAGTTCGAGCCAAAGTTACTGGTACAGATGAACCTGTACACTATACCCCTAAGAGTTGTATAATTAATAACCTAAGGTTGTATTAATAATGCAGAGTTTGTTGCATCAATATTACAGAGTTTTATGTCAGAAATATTTCCGTTATACAGCAAAATATTCGAGCCTTTAGTGATACCGATCCGAGGGCAAACACTACACTCAAATCCAATTTCTACGGCTAAACAATAATGTCAACAAAACGTCTCCTACAAAGCTTATTACGAGACATTACCGTGAGCCTCTGCGAACGTTCCTCCTGGAGACTAATCGGAACACTTCCGGTAGTGATTTGCAGAGTCGAGAGAGCGACGGATGACGGAGGCGCCGCCTCTTCCTCCTCTTCTAGCAGCTCAACGTCAGGCAGCGGCTTGAACTGCGGAGAGGAAGAGAGAAGAGAGCTATTGCCTTTGAGGATCTGAAGAAAGATCTGGAAGAAGAAAGCTAGCCAGTTCAGAAGCGATTTCCACAGCTGTATAGTTCTCGGCGTGTAGACTTGTGTAGCTTGAACCAGCTCCGGCATGGTGAATCAGTACAACGTCCGGCGAAGGATGCGCACCGTGTTATCGTTCACACACCGAGGGGGAGTCAAAAATGGCAGATTAATGGAGAATTCAAAAAGCTCTTTTGTTTGTTTCTACTGATTACTCATTAACAGCTTGTTTGGATGGTTGTAGTATTGTATTGTTATCCAAAATAATGTTTGTTTTGACTGTTTCATTATAATTGGTTGTATTGTATTGTTAAATCCATTGTTTCGGAATAATGAAAAATTTCCTTTTGTGTGGTGGGATTGTTTCCTACAAGGGATTGTTTCCTATTTTTCTTTTGCCGCCAACGTTAAAGGTGGTTTGCCGCCTTCTGTTTTATTTTTTCTCCTAATTTGCTTTTAACTCAATTCTAATTAGCTGTGCTCCTTTGGTTTGCCTTCTTTTGTCTCCCTCATTTGTTCTGCTTTCTTAAGGTGTTTTGCCTTCTTCTGTTTTATTTTTTAAAATTATTTTTATGCATAATTTTTGCTAAATTTAATATTGAAATAATTGATGATATTTTAGTAAACTTATCAGTTACAGTACAGTACGATACAGTCAAACCAAACAGCAAAATATTATTTAACAATAACAAACAATACAATCTATCCAAACATTGTATTCATAAAACGATACAATACAGTACGATACAGTACAATACAATACATTATAAAACGATGGGGAGCAATGATCCAAACACAGTGTAAGTTATTTTTTAAGGACTTTTAACATGGCTGCTGAGTGTATTATTACTAGGATTAGGATTATTGTGAAACTCTGAAATAATAATTATTGACAAAAGAAAAAGGATTTCGAGTCAAGTCGGAGGTGTGGTCAAGGTTTGCCTCGACAATAGTCGCCACTTTGAAATTATATTATATTTCATATATATTTGGAAAAATTACACTATATAGCCGCTTTTAAAATAATAATAGCAAATATATATATATATTATATTATATATGTTATATGCAAAAATTATACAAACTTTATATACTTTTTCGTCTACCAAATATAAATAGTTCTGATGCAAGCTAAAATTGAAAAAAAAAAACCATTATATTTTGAGATTGAGATAGAGACTATTTTACGACGAAGGCTATGATGGAAGGGACGAGATTCTTCATTCATAATTTGGACCTGTTTGGACATAAATTTTGACTCTTTTTCCCCTGAAAAGGTTGAAAATATTGTTTGTTCATAGAATTTGATCAATTTTTGAAGAAAAAAATTGAAGAAAATTTTAAATTCCCACAAACTGGCTTTTGGAAAGAAAAAAGTTTTCCACTCACGAAACTTCACTTTTTTCCAAATAAAATGCATGTCCAAACGCGACTTCAACTTTCAAAAACTATTTTTCAACATAACTTCAAAAATTATTTCAAGTTCATTCAAATCTATGTCCAAACGCTAGCTTAAATGTTTCAAGTCTAACATTTGAGAATGAAAAAATTTATGGGCAAATAGCAATAATTGAATTATTCGTGTTTAATATATAAGTAAATGTGAATTAGTCGAGCTAGTTGAATACAAAAGAATTGAAGGACAACTTTGAATCAATTGTAAAGTTGTCTCCATATGACCGATAGATCACGGGTTAGAGCCATAAAAATAGTCATTATTGCTTGCATTAGAGTGTACTGTTTACATACTTTGTAAACCAGATTGCTCCAATCAATACCAGATAATCATTAAAAAGATAAAAATATTATGAAACAATAAAAGAAGAAGAGTATTGTAGAGAAAAGTAGGGAGAGAGAATTGTTATTGATATGAGATAAATTACAATGGGAATAGAAGCCTCTATTTATAGGGAGAGGGTGACTTAGCCACCAAGCAATGAACCCTAGAATCTCTCTAAATATAACATTCACCATAAATACAATTCTATTTATAACAAAAAATAAAAAATTAAAAAGAGACTATTTGGCACGCGATTGGTAGAGAGTGGGCTATTGACGCAATGTAAAGGACCATTCCGCTTTCGTCTTTACATGTCGCTACTTATTTATTGGTCGATTTTCTTTTTCTTTGTTTCAAACAAAAATTTATAGTAGCAAGTTTTTTGTGGGAACTGGAAAAGAGTGGAGGCCTTACATTTTCTCTTTTATTTTGAGAATTGAAGTGGGATTCTAAAACCAAAGTTTCACTAAAGTAGGAATAAAGTTATGCTTTTTCTTCCGAGTGGGTATTAATATATACTATTTCGAATAATGAATTCAGAAATCATAAATAGGAAAGTTGTGTGTTCTAAATTTAGAAGAAAGTTTATAAACTTATCATTTCATATTTCCGGAATCCCTAACAATTAAGGTACATTATCTATATTAAAGTTAAATTTTCGAAGTAGACCAAAAAACTTAATATATAGTATATTTATCGCGAGAACTCTAATTTAGTACAGTTATTGATAAAAAATAATGTTCAGTCTTACCCAATTTACTTTCACAGGATTATCAAGATTAATAAGGAATGCTAAGAAATGTCAAATGTGTAATTCGACTGAATTGAATTTGAGTGATTGTTTGTGTTGAAATTACGGGCCAAAAGCTGAAGCATCTGAATGGCCCATTAGGCATCTCTGGATAGGCCTAACAAAAAGGTAGAAATGACACCAGGTAGCCACTCTAAAGGTTTGTTATTTAGGAATTAGCCAGTGCGTCTTGAATTTAGTTTTTCAGGACAAAAATGTCCTGAGATGTCCTGAAATTAAGATTTTTAGTTTAAAATTTCAGGATGAAATTAGTACTGGCATATTCCTAAATAACATCCCTGAGAATGGCTATATGTGCACTGGCCCCTAACAAAAGTACGGAGAATTAACTTAAATAGTTGTTGTGAAGAATTAGCTTAAATAGCCATCTACCCAACCGGTTCAACTCAAAATAGGTGGCAGATATATATAATATGTATAATCCATGTATAATATCTTATAATCATATATACTTAGGGTTAGACCTCTCTATAACAGCATCTCTATATAACAGTCATTCACTATAAAAGTCAAGTTATTCCAGGAACTAAATATTATATTATGTTATGATATATGTCCTTTATAACAGCACTTCACTATAGCAGTCAAAAAATTTCGAAACAAACGAGACTGTTATAGAGAGGTTTGACCGTATAATTAATATATACCGATTAGAAAAAGTAGACGATAAATTCGATCGGCTATTTATGTAAAGATCCCACAAAATATCATGCATTTGATGAATCGATGCCCAACTTAGTGTCCAACTCAACTTAAAACCTCATAATTTGGTGTTAACACACTTGCTCATAGATGGTAACTTGAATTTTCAACTTAACCTTCAAAATATATCCAAATCAAATGCCACAAATTTTAAAACATTTTCAAACAGAACCTAATTAGATTCTCTCTGTTGTATAATGTTGTATTTCATATGGTTTTAAGAACCTCAGATGAAACTCGCTGAAAGTATACCTGTAAAAGGGAATCCAAATGTTGGAGGTTTTAAAAGAAGTACATACATTTCATATAATGCTTCATGCCTTCATATTATTTTATAAAATAACGTTTTACGGTATACACTATATATCTCATTCTTAATCAAATGAATCAAATATCTATATCTATCTATCTATCTATCTATCTATCTATATCTATCTATCTATCTATATTATTATAAAAGCACGAATAATTTATGCTAAATGTTGAACGACTAAAATATCCCTAAAATATTGATCGACTTTTATAACCTTAATTATTTGTATAATTTAAGGATATAATTGTAAATTATTTGAGGTTAGGTTTTTCTTTCCATTTAGACTAGTCATACATCAATGCTACATAGCAGACTTTGGTCAAATTCTTTTCCTTTGCGGCATGCTTCTTCAGTTCTTCTTGTTATCGTACTCTTTGTTGACAAAGATATGGGCTACTTTTTGTTGGACAATATATGGCCGATTTGGTTTTTCCTCAAAGTCAACTTCTTTTTTTTTGCTAGCCTTTTCCTTTTTTGACAAGAATATTTTTCTTTATTTGATCTTCTTCCATAGAATTCAGCTTAATTGTATGAATTTATGTAGGAAAAGAATAAGCTAATTATACCTATAAAAGATGTCATTGTTCCACATTATTCACAATTCTATAAAGATTTTGGTGAAGCACGAAACAATTTTCTCCAAAGGTATTATTAGTTCTCTCTATTATTTTCGTTTTTCGTAATTGAGTAAGTTCCCATTTTTCGTAATTGAGTAATGTTTTAGGGTCATGTATATGAATTAGGAGAAAAACAATGACATCTTAACTTTTATTGTAATTATTTTTTATGTCGTACTTCTTTGTTTTTCGGCGTAGTTTTTAGTTTGAGATATCAAAGTCTTTTACATTGACGTAGTAATGTTTAAATTATATATCTTTAGAGACTGTGTTATTTCAACTAATGTTAGTGTAACAATATTAATTTTCAACTTTTACATAATATTTTGAAGCTTTTACTTATATATTGTAGGTATTTCGCGCAACGTAATGGAATCAGATTTGGAAAAATAATGTCTCCCAATAAATAACCTTAAACCTTACGATATTGAATGGGTAATTAAGGTATTGGTTATTCGAAGAGGACCAATAATAAAATATAAGAACGACAAAGGGGAGGATTTGCGTTGGCATTTAATATTTGTTGACGAAGAGGTAGGCTTCTTTTGTATATTTATTTTGATATAACTTATTACTTATTCATATTATTTTATAATAATCTTAAATTATTTTTATATTAATTTATAGGAGACAAAAATACAAGCAGTACTTTTCAAAAAAATATTGAAGATTGGAAAAATCATCATTGTAAGAATATATATATGTATATAGAAGATTGTGCATTTTTTTGTTTCCAACTAAATTTTAGCCCTTAAAATATTAACTGACTTTTATACTCTTAAAAAACTAGGTTATTTGCTAAAAAAAAAAAAAACAGCGTTGGATAATTTTGTAATACTTCACGTAATAGCAGAGTTTGAATTGAACTACAGAATTTCGACCGATTCATATTAAATAGCCAATTCAAACTTCGTTCCATTCATATTAAATATAGTTAGACTTCTACCAGTAAAAGGTATAACTTTTAGTCCCTTACATTAATGTGACGATCCAAAGGGTCATCACCTGTTTTCTCTCTCATTCCGTGCTGCCGAGGCCTTGAAAACCTCATTTTTTACTTGCCTCGATTTGCGTGCGCAGTCCGGGCGCGTAGCCGGAAAGCTTAAATATGAATTCTGTGTAAAAATTGATGAATTTTGATATTAATATGATTAAAGTTGACTTTGGTCAACATTTTTGGGTAAACGGACCCGGACCCGTGATTTGACGGTCCCGGAGGGTCCGTAGAAAAATATGGGACTCGGGCGTATGCCCGAAATCGAAATCCGAGGTCCCGAGCCCGAGAAATGAATTTTTAAAAGAAATTGTTTTTCTGAAATTTATATGGAAATTTGAAATAAAAATGGATTAGAAAGCGTTGGTATCGGGCCCGTATTTTGGTTCCGGCGCCCGGTACAGGTCTTATATGTGGTTTAAGCGCTTCCTGTGAAATTTGGTCGAAATCGGACGTCGTTTGACGTATTTCGGACCTAAATATCTAAAAATGAAAGTTTAAGAAGTTTGATGAAAAAGTGATGATTTTGAGGTTTGATTCCTCGTTTATGATGTTATTGTGGCGATTTAATCGCACGGTTAAGTTCGTAGGGTGTTGTTGAGTTAGTGTGTGTGCTTGGTTAGGAGCCCCGAGGGCTCGGGAGTGTTTTCGGAGGTGGTTCGGCGTGTTTTGAGCATAGGAAAAATTGCAGAAATGTTCAGTTCTGATATCTGGTATGTTGTTCTATGCGATCGCATAGGAGCTTCCGCGATCGCATAGTGTAAATCTTGAATTGCCCAGTTTTGTTCTATGTGATCGCACAGTAGACTCTGCGATCGCGTACCTCAGCCAATTCCTTCTATGCGATCGCACCCTTCCCTCTGCGATCGCAATGTACAAAACCCAGCCTCCATCTCAACCTTCTATGCGATCGCATTCACCAGCCCGCTATCGCAGTGCCCAGCTAGCCTTACCCTATGCGATCGCAATCCCTCTTCCGCGATCGCATAGGGCATTTTTGCCCAGTTATTTCAAAAGCCTAAAAACAGAACAGTGACGGGATTAATCCTAATTTCACACGAGCTCTTCTTCTCCACAGCCCCTAGGCGACTTGTAGAGCGATTCTTCACCAAATATTCTTGGGTATGCATTATCTAACTCGTTTTCTTCATTTTCTATCATCATCCATTGAAATCCTAGCCCTAAAACATGTAATCTAGGGTTGAAATTGGGGGAAATGGGTAGACTTAGGGTTTTTCGATTTTCTTCAATTTAGACCTCATTTTGGGGTCGAATTTGAAAACAAATTGTATATCCGGGCTCGTGGGGGAATGGGTGATGTAAAAATTGGTTCAAACCTCGGGTTTTGACCAAGCGGGCCCGGGGTCGATTTTTGGAATTTGGGAAGAAGGCTTAGAAAACTATATTTAGGCATTGGGTTTGATTTATTTAGCTTATATTAATGTTGTAAAGTCGTTATTTCATAGATTTGGTTGAGTTGGAGCCGAATTCGAGAGGAAAAGCGGTCGTTGTGGATTGATTTAGCCGTGGAAGTTGAGGTAAGTGTTTGATCTAACTTTGGCTTGAGGGAATAGGATTAGAGTATTATCTGCTAATTGCTAAATGTGGAGTACGGTGTATAGGCATGGTGACGAGTATCTATACACCGGTGTCTAGCATGACCGTGAGTCCTTATTTGTGCTTATTTGGGATTCTATTGTGACTCTACCTTGTTTAATTGATGGTTCCTATATAATGTGAACAGTATGAAGAGGAAATATGACTTGTAAACTCCTTGGAGCGTTGGCTCGACTTATGACTTGGTTAGGAAGTAAGAAATGAACGAAAGAGAAAGAGATGTAATTATTCCCTTGCCGGGACGTGTAAGTTATTGTCGTTGCNGAACAACACCACTCCTAGATTATTAGAGGAATCTATAATTGCGGGTTTAAAGGCGGGATTAGGAATAACGAAGCCTTGGGTGCAATTTAAATTGAATTGTGCGAATTTAAGCAAGCTAGTGTATCTCGGGAGAGTGCAATAGTAGATTACTGTGATTACTCGGGAGAGATTTGCGGTAAGATTAGCGTTCAAGATTGATAGAGATGTGTGGGTAAATTTGTATGAGCATAAACAGAAGGGATTTCATCAATAGGGGAAATCATTGCCTTAGCCTTTTTTCATAATTGTTTACAACCCTTCTAATTTAGTTATAGCCTTTTATTTACTTGCAAGTTAGTTATTAAAGAACAATCAACTGAGAATTTGAATATTTGGGAAGCTGGTTCTGAAGACTTGGTGGGTCTGAAGGTAGCAGTTGATAGGTTAACTCTCTGTGGGATTCGACTCCGGACTTGTAAACCGGATTACATTTGCAGCGACCGCATTGTCCTTTTATACGGCATAGTTGGGCGTGATCAACCTACACTCTTTGCTTTTTAGAAGATGGGTGGGGCCCAAATTTTTTTTTTCTAATTTGACGAGGAGGGGGGGTGGGGGACCAGCAAAGAAACAAGTTTGTTTTTTAATGGGGGGCAGCGAATTGTGTTGGGGAAGAAGAAGAAGGGTTTATTTTATTAAGGGCAATTCGCAGTACTATACTGCGAATTGCTTATACGCAGTATAGTACTGCGAATTGCTGGGCCCAAAATTCGGAGTGTCTCAATTCGCAGTACTCTATTGCGCATTAGTTAATTTTTTTTCTTTTTACTAATTCGCAGTACTCTACTGCGAATTACTTTAACGGCAAAATTTTCGTTAAGGTAAATCGCAATATAATACTGCGAATTAGATATTTAGGTAACTTTTTTTTTAGTAGTAAAAATATGTTTTTTGTCCAAAAAAAAATATTAGAAAAGTTTCGGACCGGTGTTTCAACTTTCAAATTCCCCCTAATGTCAGTCACCTTTTTGACCATTCCCTATGCAGCCTCAATCCTCATTGTCCTTGATCTACTTTCCCTACAACCCCACATTGACCCATTATTGGTTTCTTTGATCTGTCGGTCCAAGACCCTATTATTAATACCCTCTAAAATAAAAACCCAACATATCTCCATTTCTTGATCTTAGCTCAAATTTTTGGTTTTAAATTTTAATGGAGTCATCATCATCATCATCAGCTTCACAAGAAGTCAATGAGCTAATTTCTTCATCTTCAAAAAGAAGTGGCACTCTAAATATGGTTATGGGAAAACATCGTCTGGCTGCTGCTATTGCTTCTCTCAATCAGCAAATCCAGATCATTCAGGTTATTATTTTCTTGAATTTTTAGTGGTTCTGATTTTTGGTCCATTATCTTATCACTTATTTACTGAGGTTTTTATGTTTTTTCTTATTTGGGAATTTTGTTTTGTGATTTTAATTAGGATGAATTGGATCAACTAGATTCATTTGGTGAAGCCTCCATTGTTTGCAGAGAGTAAGTTATTATGCGAAATTAAATGGCTTGTCTTGTTTCTTCTTTCTTCATCAACATCATTTTTTTTTTTTTTTTACTTTTTACTTGTGGCAATAGAAATTGAGAATAGGGTCCAGAATATCCAGCGGATGAATGCATAAGAATATTAAATATCACATTTTTTTGGACAATAAATAATTGAAGCAGCACATGTTAGCGATAGAGAAAGTAGATGGATTGGTTATGTACTTTTACCAAAGTCACCTATACATGTCAATTGTCACTAAAAATCTATAATCTCTCATAAGAAGCAAATGATTCATATCAGAAATGCAAACTAGTTGAGTTTTTGGTCTATTTCATATTGGTATTTACATTAGATAATTCCTATTTTCGTTAGGACTATTTTCGTTTGCTTTGAAATTTGTCATTGATAGAGTCGTTGAAAACTTGTCGTGCTAGATAATTCCTAATTTGATTTATAAATACTCAAATTGTTGAGTGTTGGAATTAGAGGAGCTTGAATGAATAGAATAGAAAAGCAACAACATCTTCTGTACTAACTTTATTTGGTTGCAGACTAGTTTCAAGCGTTGAGTTAATGCCCGATGCTCTGCTTCCGGTGTAAGATTTACCTTTATTTTTGCTTTTACTTTTATCATCCTATATACTCGCCACGGAGTTTAAGAAAAAGAATAAGACTTTTGAAATTTATGGTCTTAAAATGTTGATGAGTAAAAGCTTTGTGGGGCCATGACATTTGTGTGGTTATAAAAGTTTTTTATTAAGGGTAAAATTGGTAAAATGAAGAGTTTAAAGTTGAATTATTTCCAAATTTAAAAATGTGTCATTTATTTTGAAACAAACTAAAAAGCAAAGTATCTCATCTAATTTGAAATAGTGGGAGTATGGTTTAGATTTTATAAATATTCTCAGCGAGAGTTCAGTAAATTCACTCTTTAACACGATCCAAGAAAAAAAAAATGCAGTGTAGTTTTATGAAAAAAGTTCCTTCAAGATATTCCCAATTTTTCCTGAGTATTTATTGAAAATTTTTAAACAAAATAACTACGCCATTAACCGACGATTATTCTCATTATACAAGGATAGTAATGAAAGGGAAAGCAAGAGAAAGTAAAAAGACGGAAAATAGATGTCACATTATTAGTTAAGTGTATGATTGTATAATCTCTTCTAGTTCTGTATTAATTATCACCACTTAGAACTAGAAAAAAAGGGGGGGGGGGGGGTAGGGGGGGGGTTAGAATTCCACATCGGTTACATTATGTATGGTTGTAGTATCCTTATATTTATAATCTTGGACTAGTTTTAGTGTACGCGCTTTGCGCGTGTAATTTTACGTTTATCAATAGTGTATTTAGATATTCATGTAACTATAAACGATCTGTTAATAGAAAAGAACTATTAAAATTGATGAAATACTATGGAATAACGTTATAATTATTTTTTTTTTTAAAAACTTGTACAAATATATATATCTGCAATGCACCTATAATGAGACTATATAAAGCAGACACTAATACTTAAACCTTTTAGAAAGATAAACATCAAACAAAAGAAAAGATATATCTATATGGGAATTGTTCCGTGCGTTTAGGTCATATATATATATGTTAAAAATATTCTAAATCACAAAAAAAAAAAGTAGGAGAAAAAGTACGAAAAACAACTATGATGAGTCCTTGAATGTGCATGGAAGGGAGGTTCTTTTCTAAATTAAAAACATAGTCATTTTTTGTAAAAAGAAAATGATGGACTTATATTTTAGGACTTTGTAAAAGACAACTATCCAAATAAAGGAAGAATTTATATTTATATAGATAAATATTAAATTCAAAAATATTATGAGCTTTTACCTAGTTCAAATAAAAAAAATATTTGAATGTAAATACTGAGTAGTTAGCTTGTGAGCGAAATTGTATAAATGAGATTAGGAGGTAGGGAAGGTTTAGAGTGAGTTGTTTTTTCCAGTATGGAAGTAGGTCGAGGTGATCTACTACTTTGTAAATATTTACATTGGTGGTTAATACAAAGATGTTTAATTACCAAAAAATAAAAATAATAAATAATTTAATAGTCAAACTTTTAGTTATTAATGTGATAGGCAAAAAAAATTACTAAATGGCACTTTTGTCCAATGTTAAATTTATTTTTAAAGGGCAAAAATGGTAAATAATATTTCACCTGGGACATTCGTGCTTTTACGTGCGATCTCGCATGTATCCCATTTTAATGATATAAGGATTTAAAAAATTATATAAATATAATAAAGATTTCAGATTAATAGTTCAAATAACATATATTTTATATAAAAAAAATTAATTGATTTTAAAGTTTTAAGTATTATTGCTTTCTATATACTTCAAATAAAGATAGAGTTCATAAGCAAAATTTTGTATGTATTGGTGTTTTGTTCTTTTATAATATTCCATCCGGACAACTTTAATTGATTTTTTGGCGTGTGGTTCATAATATTTGATTTCTTTTATATATCAAGAAGGCATTAATTTCTTTGTTCCAAAGTTTCTCTTGGAGTAAAGAGTCTTGAAGTATCTATTATATTTTGAATGAACAAATTAAGGTTAATATGGTCAATTTTATTGTTAATTAATGCTAAAAGATGAATTTTTAATATATATATATATATATATATAATATCAGTTTCAAAAGTTATGTGGACATCTATGAGGGAGTAGAGGTAGTTTGGAACAAATAAAATCTTTGAGTCTAGATTGACATTAAATTGAACAATAATTGAATAACTATTTTGTTTAGTTTAAAATTTAACTTAATGAATATAAAAGTCGACCAAATACTTTTAATTGGTAATAACAACTCTTTGAAGCTCAAAAACTTAGTTCCTATGTAACGTTGTTATGATTTATTTTCACAAAATAAAAGATTAAACAAAACAGAAAAATATAAAATGTTCAAGTTAAGTGATTTCCTAGTAGAAAGGAAATCTCAAAACGTTAATTTAAGGTCTATCGGCTTTCCCCCCTAAATATTAGAATAAGTATAATGTAGTGGATCGTGTATATAAGGTAAACTCTTTATTGATTTTTAAATTTATTTTTTCAAGAGTTTAAATAAGGAAAGATATAATAATAGAATTTTAGTTGATGTGAAAGTCCTAAATATTAGGAAGATAAGTAAAAGGACAATTTTATTCAATGTAAAACCTATTTTTAAAGGGTAAAAATGGCGAACGACATTTCGCTAAGGGCCTTCATGTTTTTAATGCAGTATTTTGTGTCTAAGTTAGCCCCAAAGTCATTAAAGATGCCCTTAGATCAATTGCTTTCTTTGGTTATAATATATGCAAAAGAAATATGTTATCCTCTTTTATAAGTATTCCTTTGGTTTTCTATTTTACTACATCTCTTTTTAATTCTCTTAGAACAAAGTGTAAAAGATTCTCAAAGGAATTAGTGATGCCTGCAGGACAAGAGGACCAATAAATGTTCATTTGGATCGATGGTTTCACGGAGCCAGTGACTCAAGACGCAACAAACGCTGGTTATGAAAAGGAATTCAGAGTTTTGTAACAGAAATTATGTAAAGCAATTCCAAAGGCCTCTTCTCTTTTTTGGCTTATTTTGTAATTAGAAATTTTAACCCTGGCTACAATGTCCAAGTATTAATAACAATGTGTTACCCAGTAAGGAGCCATGGCTATTCAAAGAAACCTTTACCAGCCCCTCTTCTTGCAAGGATTGGTGCTTATAGAGATAAACTCTATTTACAACTAGCAAAAAAGGTCTAGGAAAGATTAAAACACAAGCATGCACGTTAATTTCAACCAAACAAAAAGTCTAGGGAGTATTTAAATGGTGAAAGGTAGAGGCGCCGACCCATTATCCATCAAGTTTCAAACCATGCTCCAAATGGCTATTGAAAATTTCTCGGTTATCAAAAAAAGAGTTGATTTCAACCAGAATTACCTGTTCCTAAGCCGCTCAAAGACCAACAGTTCAATATCGAATAAACATAACGTACTTGCCCAAGTCCACTTGATTGTCTAACTGACACATGAAATGTTTACACCACAAGGTTTAACAAAACACAGAATTCGTCAACAAATATCAGAGACAGTTAGTGTTCCCTTTACTACCATATCAACTAGAGTGAATACCACATCACATTGTAGTTGTATTGGTCAAAATCTGACCGCTGCGGTCGGCCTAACCGAGATCCCGTCCAAGCGACGAGATAGTGGAAGACGACATAACAAAAGAAGAAATGACAAATATCAATAAGATTGACCACCCCTATTTCATCTTATGCATTATTTTCTGATTTGTTTATGGATCTGGAGGTTATTATGTTTGACTAAGATTTACCTCTTCATTCTTTTCTGATTGATTTAACCAAAAAGATCTCGATAACTTTTGGTCAAACAATTTGGCGTCGTCTGTGGGGATTTCTTAGTAAAAACTTCCTAGTCTCCTCTAGATCAAAAATCGAAAACATGCTCACCCACCGAGAGGAACGGTAAGTGAACTTCACACGCCAACATAGATCATGATGCTATATACAAGCAAAAGTTGCAACCAACATCATCCCCCGCACGCCGGGCAGCCCATGACCCAGTCAAAACAAGCCTAGCCCGCACAGGACAAAGGCACAAAAAGGAAGGGAAAGAGAACCGAATACGGTTACCAAACTCAGAAAACGCCATCCCCGTCAACCATCAAAGCGCCAAGCAGAGCAAGTAACGCCGTCGATCCACCTTCGTTCACCAAGTCATCAGATCGGGATAAGGAGGATATCATCCTAACCCACCTTCTGCTGGTTGCCCAAACAAGAACGCAAGCGCCGCACGGGCGAGCGAGCAAGGAAACATCCCAACTGAAGAATGGGAAATTATTACGAAACTACCGAAATATCGTCCACCAGAAAAACCCGACGCCTCGGAAGTGATACCCTTTAAATGATACTTCCTCTCCCACACCAAAAAGATTTCCCAAGAAAGCCTTCCTGGGGACTTAAATATCGGGCCGACGAGGGGGAACCCCCCGAGGTCAAAGCGTAATTCATCGTTCCATCCACCAATGACATCTCAAGACCGGAAAGCAAAAAGGTTAGACAGGAAAACTCCAATATGTGTATGAAACGGGTGTGAGCGAAGCGGCAGTGTTTCCTGCTCCCCGATACCACACTCCCCGACGCAAACAAAATCAGGCGAACTGGGACTCCCCCTGAAGATACCCCTCCGAAAAACCAGAACAACGACGGGTTAATATTTCGACGAAAGCTCGAAATAACACCCTTAAGGCCAAGGGCCTCCGCCAAAATGAAGAGTTCGACCTCGATCGAACAACGACAGGTTAATATTTCGACGAAAGCTCGAAATAACACCCTTAAGGCCAAGGGCCTCCGCCAAAAAGAAGAGTTCGACCTCGATCGAACAACGATGGGTTAATATTTCGACGAAAGCTCGAAATAACACCCTTAAGGCCAAGGGCCTCCGCCAAAAAGAAGAGTTCGACCTTGATCGAACAACGACGGGTTAATATTTCGACGAAAGCTCGAAATTGTCACGACCCAAAATCCACAATAGATCGTGATGGCGCCGGACACCGTTGTCAGGCAAGCCAACCATAAATACTTAATTAAATTCTCATTTAAATAATTGTGAAAACTCTGATTTTCCTTCAATTTTACTAGTAAAAGATACTCATTTCAAATTAAATATGAAAGTCAAGAAATCAATACAAATTACCCCATAATCATCCCAGAACCCGGTGTCACAAGTGCATGAGCATTTACTAGGGAATAAAATAAAATACAGCAACTGTCCGGAATACAAGGTGGACAGAATTGAAATACAACACAATACTCTGAAAGGAGACTCTACGGGCTGCGGGCCGTCTCGATAAGTGCAAGCTCACCTAGGTCTCCGTACCAACCAAGCCGCTATGCCACTAAGCTGCTAGCCACACCTGAACCTGTGCAACAAAAATGCACAGCAGGTGTAGTATGAGTCCGAAACAACGTGTACTCAGTAAGTATCCCGCCTAATCTTGAAGAAGTAGAGACTAGAGGTCGACTTCGACACTTACTAGTGGTCCAATAATGATACACAATTAATATAATAAAATCAAGGATTTTTATAAAGCATGGTTGTAACTCAACAGAATGAAACAAGTGATCAATTCCTTTATTCAAAGGGTAATTTCCAAATTTCGTTTTCATCAATTATACACTTATT